GTGGTGATACAGAAACAACTCCAAAATGTACTTATAACAGTTGTCCACAAATTATTAGTAAATTTTGGGTATAAACAAATTGATACTTCAATAAATATATCAACAAAAACCCAACAAGTAAAAGTTTCTAGTATTTTACCTTTTTATTCATTTACATTTGATGCAATTTTAAAAGATAAAACAATTCAAAAAGTTAATGTTAGTGGTGTTGCACAAATCTATAAAAACATTTTTGTTGGAATTAATTATCTTCTTCCTTCAAATAAATTATCACCTGTATTTATTAAACAGAATGAAGAAACTCTAATAGATGATAGTAATGAAACAAAAACTTCTGTAAAAGAACTTATTCATGGAATAAAACAAATTCAACAAAATAGTTCAGGGTTTATTTGTTATCAAGAATCTCCTTATAAGAGATATTCTCTTTATTTGTTTGTTCTTTTTTTATTCACTCACTCAGTGAAATAATAATTTTTTAGTGATTACTCTGCTTGTATAATAGGTGCAAGATTATTAAGAAAGTGGAATAATACTATTATTGCCTCTGAAGCATATTTCAAAAATAAACAATTTGAAGCTCAAACTGCAATTAGTGGTGATGTTCAAAATCTTGGAAGTTGGAAATTGATTATTAGTTCAAAGAAACAAGCTATTGCCCAAATTACACACCCAATCACTGATCTTCTCAAATTAAAGATTCAATACTTCCATTCATATGAAGATCAGAAAAATCAACTCTCTTTTGGAATTGACTTATCATTCTAATAAAGTATTCAATTGAAAGTTTTCAATATTTATTAGTTATTAAATTAAAGTGTTTTTGTAGTTTTATAAATTGAATTTTAGATATATTGACAGACCTTTTATTTAATGTTTGAGAACATTATTTCAATCTGTTTTTTGTTTTATTGCTTTTCTTTTAAATAAGTATGAGCTTATTTTTTAACTATTTTCCATGAACAATAAGGTTCAACTTGATTATGGAAAAATGAGTTAATTAAAAATGGATAGTACTGAGTGCATCTACACGTGTTATTGTTATGTTCTTTTTTGTAGCCATTAATCATTTTATGAATAAAGAAATAACATACCTTTCATTAGATATATCTTACTCTAATAAAAATAATCAATGAACAACTACATGAAATAATAAGTGTGTTATGACATTAATTAATATGAATTTGATTAGAAGGGTAATAAACTAAATACTACCCTTTTTATGAAAGGGGAAATAAAAAAATTAAAAATCCACAAAAGCGGATGGTTTAGTGGTTAAATATTAATTTATCCAAGAATTAACAAGAACCCAATGACTATTGTATTTAAAACTATTAATGGATATTTCATTAAGTCTTGTGTTCGATAAAAGAACCAACTC